TGCTTTTCCATTAAGTAATAAATGACAATGTTGGGCATTACAAAATACCAGTGTCATTATTACGTTCATAAAAAAGTCATTATACATACTTTCGCATGATATTTTTTGAATGGCGTACATTTTTACCATTTAAATACCTTGTGGAAATTCGGCCAGAAAATATTCCTGGGCATTAGGTATAAACACAAAATTCTTATATTTTTCTAACAAATATAAAACACTGCAAAAACTTTACTTTCTTTCCTTAAACGAAATCCATATCCCATCATCGGTGGCTGTTAGAAAAGTTTTTGCAGACATTTTGAATGGTTTGTTATTCTCACACAAGTGGACAGAATATTTTGATAGCAAAGTAACGATGCCGGCCTTGCTTTGAGCCAAGCCAAAGCGCATTCCTGAAATTAAAAAATTAATAAACAAGTTGATGAAAAAAATGTAACAATTCAGCGAAATAACTTTCAATTTAGATTGTTGGTTAGTTTATTTCGTCTTATTTGAATGCTTAACCCGCCAGCTGATAAATTTCGATTAAACAATTTCCACTTTCATAAAATGAAAAAGTTTTAAAAGTCATTTCACAAAGTGATAATTGACAGTATTACTTTTTGTGATTTCAAAAGCTGTTCTTACCTGGACACATACGCGGACCTTCACCAAATCCCAAAAACATACAGCCATGCGTTTTTTCATTTTGGTGCAAAAATCGTTCAGGTTGAAATTGCAAAGGTTGTTCATACAAATCCGCATCGCTAGAAGAATGTGAATTTTAATATGAAGGTATATATTTTTAATCAAATTGTTATTATTAAGGGGGATCTCCATATAGCATGCATATACGTATTTTGGTTCGTAGAATGCGGATCTTTAAACCGTTTCTCTAGATCATTTTCACAAGGTATTTTCATTTTAAATTTGCATTACGAATGAAAAAGATCAAAGATGGAAAATGTTACTCATACGGCATGCACGAGTACCTCCATGGACGACATGGCGTATGAGTAACATTATTTCTTGCTTGCTACTATTTCATAAAAAAATGATTGCGCATTTTAATTTTACCATTCAAATGTCGTTCATCGTTACTAGATTGATATTTTTGGCAAAAGAACAGACATTAATACAAGTGAAAACAATATAGGAACTATTACTTATTTATTTTTTTATTTTTTTTTCTTTTACTTATTGTTTTTTTTTTAATTTTTTCCTAATTAAAATTTGAATTTTTTTTTTATAAAAATTAAAGCATCTTGTGAAAATAACCACATCTGAAAAAACGGTACACAGATCCATAATCTATGACTCAAAATTAAGTTTACAATTTCGGCGTTGCTTTTTTTTGTAATTTCAAAACTTAAGATTTTCCCTACAGTGTTATTGATAGAAATGCTTCATAGAGTGCCCTGAGATTTAGGGCGAAAAGTCTGACTACATCTGTCCATTACTTATTTTCAGTATGGCCGGGGGATACTGCTTCAACAGAACATTTCGAAGCCTCTATTTTTAAGAATTGTGGGCCACACAATTTGTGGCGTAGAGACGGAGGCTTATTTAACTGACCTCCAATTTGAAAAGTCTATTCCACTACCATATTCTGCAAAGCCAGGCGACGATTAAGGCACTTGCCTCTCTATGTATTTATTGTTTCCAGCATACAGAAGCGATGCAGATATATGCTAAGATATGATTTTCATCGTATCAGAAGTAGAACCTAAGTTAGATTTCTAGGCAATATTATTCCAATGCAACTTAGTAAATTAAAATTGTTACATTCGCTACATCAACCAACCAATCAGAAGCGATCAGTGTTGTCATTTTTGGGATTTTTTGGGGAATTATTTTCCTATGGTTGGCTACATACTTACAAATATACCCATGTAGTCGGCCGATTAAATTAAGTGACACTTTGACCACTCTTGGCTATTTTTATTTTGTCTATTTAACGTTTATAATTATTTTATTAAAGTCTAGCCCATTACCTAACCAGTCAGTAATTCAAAGTTCTGCACAACTAAATGCATGGCTATGTTTAAGTTGACGGCTCTCGTCAGTACTCCTCGGGGTATGCACTATCGCATTATCCTGCCTGAACGCTTGGTTTACGATGAAAAATACAAAAATGTGTGAAATAAAACTGTGGCAAAAAAATACCTAAAACGTATTTTTCATTTCTAACCATCAATTTTAATCAAACGAAAATCGAAAAAGCCGCCAAACTCTGCATGAAAATCTGTACAGCTATATTTACATACATACAC